TTTATAGTTGGAGGGGAAAGACTGAGGAAAGAGAGAGGCTTTTCTAAGTCACATACTAAGCAAGGTCCACTGGATCTAGGCCCATGTGCTTCCTGGTATACCATACACATGCTCTCTAGCTGGGAAAAACACCAGGAGTAACAACCTAGCTAACACAACATGCAAGTTTTGTTGTTTTTAAATATTTTTTTTAGTTGTAGATGGACATGATATTTTAAAATTTATTTTTATATGGTGCTAAGGATCGAACCCCGTGTGCAAGGCAAGTACTCTACCACTGATCTACAGCCCTAGTCCCGMAAGGTTGGTTTTTATTGTATTTTGCATAAGATAAAATTGTTCCAAGAATTTCAATCAAGTGTTCATCAAAATAAGTACAACTGGGGGTAGGGCTAGTGCTGTGGCTCAGTGGTAGAGCACTTGCCTAGCATGTGTGAGGTACTGGGTTTGATTCTCAGCACCACATAAAAGTAAATGATTGTACCAACTACAACTAAAAATTTTCTTTTAAAGTGCAGCTGTTAATATTTGGGTCAGGGACTGAAATGAATATTTTGTATTAAGAAGACAAAAATCGGGGCTGGGGATGTGGCTCAAGCGGTAGCGCKCTCGCCTGGCATGCGTGCGGCCCGGGTTCGATCCTCAGCACCACATACCAACAAAGATGTTGTGTCCGCCCAGAACTAAAAAATAAATAAATATTAAAAAAAAAAAAAAAGACAAAAATCTTTGTCAACCAAGATGCCTTCTTAGGACTCTTCTGGAAAAAAGTTAATGGGAACTTTTTCATGTCTACATTTTGGTAAGCAATATTGCTAATGGCTATTTTTGCTCTGGGCCTCTTGCTCCATTTTCTAATCTGGAAAGTGCATTTCTGGGCTGGTGTGGAGCATTACCTAGGAGTTGGGTTTCCTGGGTTCCTTTCATCTGTTCTCCTGCAATGCAGGGGGAGCCTAGCCTGGTCTCCAGTTTCTGACTGGAGTTACCACAGGCCAAGAGAACTGCTAACCACTGAGCTGTGAGTAATTTGCTTTTGAGAAGTAAATAGAACCTTGCCAGTAGAAAACCCAGGGGTGTGGCCAGTAGTTCTTTTCCCAGGCTCCTCCCTCCCCACCCCCCAAATGACCTTAACCTTTTTTCATAGCTGGACAGCAGCCAAGTCCAGCCTCAACAATACTCTCAATCTCATTGGTTCTTTTGCCTTTGCAGACACTGCCACCCCCAAGTGGTTAAGGCCTTCCCACCAAGCCTCWCAGTGGAATCAGGGTTTTCTAACTACTGAAAGGCAAACAGGGAAGGGTGAAAAGTGTCCCCAGGGCTTTGAAGCATCAGTGTTTGGCTCCTATGATTAGAGGCAGGGCAGGTTCTTTGACCTAGGGGAATGGGCATCTTCAAGTGATCCAGCAGAAATCAAAAAGGATGTTTTTGGTAAATGTTCAAGTCCTGATTTATGTCACCGCAGTTGTGAGGATAGATGTAAACGTCACCCAGCATCCTTTGAAACTGCCATTGAACACCCTTTTATCTACAGTGAAAAGAAATAGCATAAAGTTCTGGTAAAGCACCATTGCCAGGAATCAGGCTGGTGTGGTCACTTTTGCCCCACAAGGGCATGGCCTTAGAGCCAATATCCCAAATGAGGGTCGGTTACTCCAATTCCATTCAACAGGGACTGCAGCAAGTTTAGTGTTTGGAAATAACAATTGGGAGTAGATAGATATATACACTGGGCTGTCCCTCTGCTTGGCCTGGGGCCAAGATGTGGAGGCAGAAGCAAGGTAAGACTGGTACAGGATGAGTTGTCAGAATGCTCCTGGAAGGTGAGTGCTCCATGAGAACTATATACCTTCAGTGGGAAAAAATTACTCCTCATCATTTGCTTTTTTTTTGGGGGGGGGGGGTATTTTTATTTTTTATTTATTTTTTTAGTGCTGGGGATTGAATATAGGGCCTCACATATGCTAGTCAAGCACTCTACCACTGAACCACAACCTGAGTCCTTTTTAATTTTTTGAGACAGGGTCTTCCTAAATTGCCCAGGCTAGCCTCCAACTTATGATCCTCCTGCCTCAGCCACCTTCCTGAGAAGTTGGGATTACAGACGCTACACCTGGCTATAACAGCATCTTCATTAAACACTTTATGCCAAGTACCATAAATCCTCTGAGGTAGATGTTATCATCCCCATCAGGGAAAAGACTGTGTCTGTTTTGCTTAGTATTACATCCTTATCCCATCACATGGTGTGTACTCCTATATTGTTGAATAAATCAAACAGGTAAGAGAAGAATTTGGCAGAGGTAGGAGATATTTAGACTTGGTGTGCCCTATATAGAATTCTTAGCATAGCCCATAAGGATGCTGAGCTGTGTGGAACAAAGAGAAGAAATAAACCTAGGAAAGACTAACAACACAGAGTGATAGGATTAACCCTGGAAAGCTCAAGCCACCTGAGTTCAAATCCCATCTTTACCATTCACTGAGTGAATTCAGGTCAGTCACTTCCCCTTTGGTGATCTTAGTTCCCTTGTCCATAAAATATAGATATCAGACTCATGCACCAGAACTTAATTGGAGACACAGTGCACGAGGCACTGTCCTGAGCACTGGGAATACATTGGTGAATGAGACCCCTGCTTTTCTATTACATTCATCTTACATTCCAGAAGAGAGAAACAGATAATGAGAAACAACTAAAATTGACAGACAGGATAGGCAGGTGGTGTTAGGGTGCTATGAAGAAAATGGTGATGAGATAATACAGGGTAGTGGTGGTGGCTGAATAGTCAGAGAAAAACCCCTCTGAGGAGCTGACATTTCCACTGATACCCAAATAAGGTGGACTGACCAAAAGGTAGTATGGAGGTAGAATGTTTCAAGCAGAGGAAAAGAGCAGAGAGCCAGGCAAGTTCAAGGAACAGAAATGATATAACCCTCTTGAATTCTAGGATTCTAGAAATAGAGAGTGCATTGCTTGTATTGTTTGGGTTAGAGATTTGTATTAAGAAAATGTTTCTTGGTGGTATGGGATATTTGTTTCTTAATGGAAGTGGCTTGGGGGATGGCTATCTCACTTGCTTTCCACAGTTCTGGTAGCTCAGCTGTCTCCTGTGTTGATGCAGGCTCCATTTTAGCTGCATACTCTAAAAGCAGCCTGAAATGAGCTGCCTCCTTCACCTCTCTCATTCAGCACACAGTCTTGGAGCCCCAGAACCCCCTCCCATTCCACCTAGCCGCCTTACAATCTGAAGAGCCAGGGAGCCAGGCTTTGAGAGCACAAGATTCAGCTTCCTTGTTTTCCTGTCGGAGTAGGAGCCAGAAAATAAAACAGGAAACAGAGCGGAAGAGGAGGGGGTTGGGCAGCTGAGAAGGTAGGGCAAGAGAAATTGCAGGAAAGTAGAGGTAAAGGTCTGGACAAAGTTCTACCTCTAAAGGGTGACAGTTGAGCTTTTAGAAAACACTCTGACTTGTCACAAGAGAGCCCTTGCCTTTTTACAAATAGATTCTGGAGGAAAATTTTATGTGGACAGAGGGAACACTGAGAATGCATGTCTTTTTTCCCTTGTGAATTCACAGAGGAAGGGCAGTGCATTTCTCAGTTTTGTCCTTTCAAACAAGTGTGCTGCTTGGAGCCTCACTGGGCTTCTAGAGATTCAAGTCACAACCTTGGGCCCCAGTCACAAGAGTGCCCGAGGCTTTGCCATTTTACTCACAAGCCTCTGGAGTGAGAACAAATGAGTGCCACTGAAAAACCTGGGGGAAGGGCCTTCTAAACTCCATTTTTCTCCTTCTTCACCACACAACCACTGAAATGTGCCCTGGACTTTATCCACCTTACGCACAACAAATATCAGGGGCAGTTTAGGTCTTAGGGCCTGAAATGAGTTGTAAAAGAATCAAAAGATAGTCCTTGGTCTCCACAGCACTGATGTGGGCCAGTTTTCTTTGCCTGAAGAGATAGCAACCATCTCTTTGTTCCCACCCACACCAGTGGCTGTTGTATAAGATAAACCCCTCCCTCAGCCCGGCTGTGGCCAGAGGCTAACCCGGACCCTGGCTACGTTTGGAGGGCAGATAACCGAAACCGCAGAAGGCTTTGGAAGCCCAAGAAACAAGAAATCCGCCAACGGAGAAGGATTTATTATCTGTTTCCTTTTAGGAGGGAGCAAAGTTGTTCTAACAGTTTCCGTTACAGGGGAACCAACTGGTCGCCCCTCCCTAACAGACGGTTTATTAGAGTTAGCTTCCTTCTTTTCTTTTTTGGCCCCGCTTCCCAGTAGAGAAACGGAGTGAGGGAGGAGAAAGGAGTCCTGCGGGTGCTCTCTGCGGCTTCCTTCACCATGCTCATTGGCCACCTCAGGTGGGGCTTGGGTCTGAAGCAGGACAGAGGTCGCTGGAAGGCAGGAGGGGAAAGTCAGGGGGATCCCCCACTTTCTTCACCCCCAGGACGCAGGGTGCCGCTGCTAGCCACAGAAACCCCAAGAAGGCTTTTCTTTGACTTTTCAGAGAATGTATATTTTGTGCCAGGCCCCGTGCTGAGTCGTCGTTGCCAGACACCAGGGAAAGCACGGCTCAGGCTTCTGCGAAGAGGTCGCGGGGCAGTCCCCAACTACTAGAGCCTTCGCCCACATCGGGAACTCAAGTGAGCGCTCACGGGGTGGAACAGGGACTAGAGCGCAGACGCTGACACTGCAGCCCCGGCACAATGACTGAAGTCGAGGTTTAGTGGGTGGGGAGGAGTCACAGTGCGAGAGAAAACTCCTCAGGTGTCACCACTAAGGCGGGAAGGTGCTACGCCGAGTCGCGCCGGGCTTCGGTCCCCGCCCCGCTCGCCCGGAATCAACATGGCTGCCGCGGAGGGAGGCGGGGCCACTCTGAGTCTGGGCAGGAGCGGGGCGGGGCCGCCGTCGGCGAAGCCAGCGCGCAGGCGCGGGCGGCGCAGGCCCCGGATGGAGGTGCTGTAGATCGTCCCGGAGGGGGAGGACCGGACGGGCGGGCGCGGAGGGTTGGGACGCCATCTCCGGAGCCTTGGAGTTCTGGGGGGAGGGAAGCTGTCAAACCGAGGCCGAGAGAAATGAGGCGGAGGCTGCAGAGAACCGTGGAGCCCCGCCTCTCTGCCATGGCGGCCTCCGGCGCCGCCTCTTCCTTTACGGCCTCCCGCCCTCGCCTGCTTCCGGCCCTGTAGCCAGTCCCGACTCCGGCTCCCTCGGGAGTGTCCCCAGGGCCGAGGCTCGTTTGGGGTGAGGGTCGACGCCCCGACTCCGATAGGACCTGTGTCCAAAAGCAGCAGGCTCCGGACATGGCAAGGCTGGCAAAAGGCGGCTCCTGCCTCGGGACGGCCCGAGAGGCCTTAGGCCTTGAGGATCCTGGTTCTGAGCGACTTTACCCCACCGAGGATGTTAATTCGAGGGCCTCCAGTTAACAGGCTTCCTCAAATTCCCAGATAGGGCCCATCTACCGTAAGCGTACCAGCAAGAGCTCTTATCATTGGAGGAAGTACTGGATTAGGCTTTGGAGACATGGGTTATGGTCCTGTGTGGGAAAGAGAGTGTACCCTTTGACTGGGGGGTGAGGTTTAAAAAGCAGAGAACACGAGACTCTTTTTAAGTCGTCTCGTGTGCGTCGCTTGGCCCCGGTGAGCCTCAGTTTCCACATCCATAAAATGGCGATGGTAATTATACGGGCCTTTCAGTGTCTAATGAGATCTCTGAAGCCTGTTTATCTCACGGGAAAATAAAAGACTAAAACTATTTGATCCGTAAGTGCCCTGCCAGTCAAGAAAGTCAGTGATTTGGCAAGGGGTTTGTTGGAAAGTGAGGTTGGCAAATAGCTGAGAGGGAGAATTGACTGGCTTTCTTTTGCTTGTTGTATCTGTGAACTAATTGTGGGCTACAAATTTCCTGTGGTCGCAGAGGCCAGAGCTTGACTCTGAAAAGAGGAAAGGAAGAATGCAAGTCTGGTCAAGAGGCAGAGGTGGGTTAAGTGCTTTTTTGTTTGCAACGTCTCTTCTGCGTGTGGGTGGGAAGCCAAGGATGATAAAGTGAACTCGCCCTGGGATAGAGGAGCATCAGTGTGAGGTTGGGTTGTGCCTGTGATTTCTCTCGATTCATCGAGTGAGATGTTGAGGATGTTGGGCAGATTCACAAAGTATCGCCGCTCTCTGAGGGTTTCAGAAGCTTACCTTTAAAACTGAATTTTCCTGAGAAAACCGATAGAGTTAGGGGCCCCTCCCTTCCTCCTGGCATGTTGATGGAGTAAGCAGCAAGCGCCCCCTTGTGCCAAGAAAAGAGTATTGTTGCTTTCGGCCAACTTGACTCCCTTTCTGGAGAAATTTTATTTTCCTCTGGCTTCTGTGACTTTGTCATATTACTCTTAACGTGAAGGGAGAAATCCCTGGAGCAGTGATTTTATATCTCGAGTTAGCGAACTAGTGATACTGTGCCCTGTCTCTACTACTGCTCGTTCAGAATACGGGCTTGTATCCTGCTTGTATGCTAGTTCCTGGGAATACAGTTGTGCTGTGAAGTCCTGTCCTCACAAACAGCCTAAACAAGCAGTGTCAGAGGGCAGTGAAGCATGGCTTATCTAGTTGGAATTCCAGAAATAATTGAAACTTACAGGTTTGGTAGGTATTTGCCAGCGAAGAGAAAAAAGAGCCTTCCAGCCTTCCTTGTTAAAATATCTCTGCTTCAATATTTTTTTTTCTTTTAGCTAGACATAGTTATTCATCCCAAATCAACAAACTGTTTCTGAGGTTCTTGCMCTCTTTTCTGATTTCCCAGGCTGGTGTTTGAAAGTTCTGAAGGAGCTGTTACTACTTTGCCCAAGAAATTGTAAAAAATGTCTTAAAATGCATTCTGTGCCTCACAAAGGGTTTGAATTATTTATACATTGCTACCATTCCAAAAAAGAGATGGGAAATAACAGTTTTCTTCGTCTCTAGTAGTAGACTCTGTCTTCGCCCTAAGTTTGTTTTAGCAATGGGAGCTGGCTGAAGTCCTGCTGAGTAGTGGTTTTCTTTTCCTTCTCCACTTAATTTAACAGACCAGCTGAACACACATCAGAGAGCTAAGCTGGCATGTGTAGTTATTATGGCCTTCTAGTATGGTTCTGTGCCCCACTTTTGGGACTCTAGTTTGGGAGCTAGTTTATTATTCTGGGCAAGAGGGAAAGGTCACACATCAAATAATAGCAACCACAACATAGATGTGTGTAGTACTTCACATGGTAGCCCATTACACCATCATGACAGTTTTGTGACAGACAAAAGAGATAGTCAGATCCCATTTTATATACAAAAGAACTGAGGCTTGGTGAATAAATGAGAACTTGCAAGTAACAGGACTTAAACTCAGATCTTTAGTTCCTACATAGGAACACTGAACAGACTACACACACACAAACCCCTGCCACCAGGACTGGGATTTATACTCAGGACCTTGTACATGCTGGCCAAGTGCTCTACTACTGTGCTACATACATCCCCAGACCTTATTAAAATTTTATTTTGAGACAAGGTCTCGGGGCTGGGGATGTGGCTCAAGCGGTAGCGCGCTCGCCTGGCATGCGTGCGGCCCGGGTTCGATCCTCAGTACCACATACAAACAAAGATGTTGTGTCCACCAAAAACTAAAAAATAAATATTAAAAAAAAATTTTCTCTCTCTCTCTCTCTCTCTCTAAAAAAAAAAAAAAAAAAGACAAGGTCTTGCTAAATGTCCCAGGCTAACCTCAAATTGGTGATCCTCTTGCCTCAGACTCCTGAGCCACTGGGATTGCAGGTATTTGACACTGTGCCCAGCTTCAACAGGCTTTTAAAGGTTTTCTATGAGCTTACTTTTATAGCTTCATATTTATCTTTGAGGAAGTTGTCTGACGAAAATACACTGCTTCAGAGTGATACCCAGTGGTCCTATCTGCCTTTAAGATACTCCTCTCTGGGAAGTTAGGAGGTCACATGTGTCATAGTAATGTTAAAGGGGGAGATTCCTATGAAGAATGTTTTAAACATTTGCTTTTGGCCCATGTATGATGTTTTCTTCCTTGGATTTTGGAGTTTAGAAACCTGAAGAAACTCAGTTCTGGTAGCAACACTCCTGGATTCCTGGTGGTGAGATTATGTGGCCCCTGGATCCATCACGGAAAGAGGTGCTTAGGTTTGCGGTCAGCTGCCGTGTCCTGACTCTGATGCTGCAGGTCAGTCTCTGATTCTTAGTCCTGATCATGCTGTTGTTACATAACTGGACAATGCACAAAGAATAGACCCCTTCTCCTTTCTACCTGCCTGTTGTRCTCCTCCATGTGGTTAGAACCATAGAAACCTAGACTTTATAGCTGAAAAGTCAGCGGGAATCTTATAAATTACTCTAATCCCCTCTTTTACTTATGAAGTAACAGAAGTCCAGAAAGGTTAAATGACTTCCCTAGAATTATAGAGAAGGGCCAGAGTTAGACCTCAGGTTTCCTACCTCTGAAGGTAGTAGTCTGCAATAACCATAATCTTATGATCTTTCTCGACAAAGATACTTTTTTAAGATTTGAAGCTCAAAGTATTGGACTACCAGAAGACTGAATAGTGTATCAGTCAGTTGAGTGGGAGGGAGGTGGCATTGTGCAAGTCCTGAGACCATCTGTATATATTCATTTGTCAGTAATGGCTCCTTCTCTCCCCTTAGGAGTCTTCCCCTTGCTACCTCACCCACATATATGTGCCTTTGCCCCTTTTCAACTCCATTTCCCCCAAAGCTGCCCTTGATATAATTTTAATCAAATTTCACATATATATTAACTATTCAGTGCCTAGCACAGTGCCTGGTGCCAGTAGGTCCTTAATATTATGTTTATAAATGAGTGAATCATGTTGAATGTTTCAACTCCTTAGAGATGTAACATTAAATAATTATATATGCCTTTTTATTACCAGCACCATTTTCTGTGAAGCTCCTAGCTGGTTCCTTTGTGGAAACCACCTTCCCTATCTCTTCCTCCATTATATTAGGCATAGCAGGCTTCGTTGTATTCCAGGTTTAATTAAAGTATCTTCAACTTGGAGGCTAGGGCTATTATCTGTGACTGTCATTCCTGTCCCATTTGTTATACTGTTTGAAGTGACCTGATAAAGAATCTAATCAGAAAGAGAAATGGGTTAAAGATGAGGTTATATTCCTACTCCCAGGCTGGAGAGACTGACTCAATGATGTCCCTGAACCAGCCTTGGTTGAGTTATTGGCAGAACCAAAGGAACAATAGTACAAATCAGCATCTGGGATAGGGAACCAAGACAACTGCATTCTAATTCAGATGGTGATTTTGTAAACAGTATGTTTTCTCAAGTTCCTGAAGTTCATTCAACCACCAAAATATTATTAAGTACCTATTGTATTTCAAGATCTGTGCTAAGATGTGAGTGTAAGAGTTTTTTTCTTAAATAGCTGACAATCTATTGGGGCAAAAGGACCTTCAGCAATAAATGCTATTTCATTGTTTCTTCCTCTTCCCCCCTACTTCCAGATCTAAAGCTCATGCCATCAGATTATATTCCTAGTCACTTCATTGTTGCTATCATCTCTGTCAATAACAGTTACTCCTTGAAAGTTTTAGCTCCTGGTTCCCTGTCAGTCTCTCTCTGGCATTACTTCTGTTCATGTCTTTGTGGTTTCAATATTAATGAAGATAATATATCCAGTGCTATGGTCCCTTACTTCATTGTCCTGCTCCCTTCTAGTGATCTGGTCCTCACCACTCTCACAGTAATACCCTCTATACCCAACCACTTGCTACCAAATTTCAGTTTTGTTTTTTTTTTAAAGAGAGAGAGAGAGAGTTAGTTTTAATATTTATTTTCTCAGTTTTCGGCGGACACAACATCTTTGTTTGTATGTGGTGCTGAGGGTCGAACCCGGGCCGCACGCATGCCAGGCAAGCGCGCTACCACTTGAACCACATCCCCAGCCCCCCAAATTTCAGTTTTAAGCGGCTTATTCTGTCATCACTATCTCCTATCTTTCCTATTATCCCAACTCTTGTAATTCTTCTCCTCTGAGGATTTTTTTTTTTTTTTGATGGGGGGCAGTACTGGGGATTGAACTCAGGGATACTTGGACACTGAACGACATCCCAGCCCTATTTTGTATTTTATTTAGAGTCAGGGTCTCACTGAGTTGCTTAGCGCCTTGCTGTTGCTGAAGCTGGTTTTGAACTCGCAATCCTCCTGCCTCAGCCTCTTGAGCTGCTGGGATTACAGGCGTGCGCCACCATGCCCAGTGAATTAGTCTTTTTTTTAATATAAGGTTACTAACTCCAGGGAGTCATCAGTGCCATGTAACAATCTTGGTGCATTCCTTCATAAATTTCTGCACATCAGAAACACAAACAAAAAATCTAATGCTGTTTAAATCAAATCTGGAGGTGGGACCCCAAGCATCAACATTCTTTTTTTTTAAAGAGAGAGAGAGAATTTTTTAATATTTATTTTTTAGTTTTCGGCAGACACAACATCTTTATTTGTATGTGGTGCTGAGGATCGAACCCAGCACCGCATGCATGATGCCAGGCGAGCGCGCTACCACTTGAGCCATATCCCTAGCCCAAGCATCAATATTTTATGAAACTCCCTRGATGATTCCAGTGCTACAGCCTATCTTTGAGAGCCAGGGTCATAGGCAACTTGTCTTCCTTTTTTCTCAAATCTCTAACAACTTCTCCCCATTACTTTCAAATGATAACTTGCCTTCCTGAATGAAAATTCAGAAAAATTGAAGAGACCTTCCACATGTTTCCACCACTTCCATCAGCCTGCCTAAATCTTCACCTTTGTGCCTTCAGTACTGATGGTTGGATGAATGGTCTATCCTCTTTTTTAGGGCTAGCTTTTCTACCTGTCTAGCAGATTCCATCCCCTGTTGTCTGCCTAGCCCTTCTTCCCTCTCTTCTACATATTTTCACTGGATTATTCCCAATAGCATGCAAATATTTATTTCCAAATCTAAATTCAGCCACCAAAAACTTTTTCTCTTGATCCCACATTGTCATACACCTGTTACCCCCTTTCTCTCTTCCCCATCATAGCAAAACACCTTAAAATCATGTTCATTGATTATTTTCACTGATTCCAATTTCCCTTTTCCTGGTCTCTATTGAGCTCAGTCGAGACAACTTCTCTCTCTTCAATTCCACTGAAATAGTTCTAGTCAAAATCACCAGAGACCTTCACATTGCTAAACCCAGCTCACCCATATCTGTACCTTCACTACTGAAGGTCAGTTTTCAGTCTCCATCTAACTTTGACCTTTCGGTAGTGTTTGAGAGTTATTTAACAGAGCTTTTCACTCTCATTCATTCTTCTTTTTTTTTTTTTTTTTTTTAAGTACTGGAGATTGAACCCAGGGGTGCTTTACCATGAGCTATATCCCCAGCCATTTTTTGTTTTTCACTTTGAGACAAGATCTTGCTCAGTTGCTTAGGACCTCATTAAGATGTGAGGCTGGGGGCTGGGGCTGTAGCTCAGTGGCAGCGCACTTACCTAGCATGTGTGAGACAATGGGTTCGATCCTTAGCACCACATTWAAAAAATGAAACATATAAAGGCATGCTGTCCATCTACAACTACAAAAAAAAAAAAATTAAAAAAAGATGCTGAGGCTGGCCTCAAACTTGTAGTCCTCCTGCCTCCACCTCCTGAGCCACAGGGCTTATAGGCTTATATCACCATCCCTGGCCATCCCCAGTCCTTTTTTTTTTTTTTTAATTTTTTTATATCTTTTTTTTTAAGAGAGAGAGAATTTTTTAATATTTATTTTTTAGTTATTGGCGGACACAACATCTTTGTTTGTATGTGGTGCTGAGGATTGAACCCAGGCCGCACACATGCCAGGCGAGCGCGCTACCGCTTGAGCCACATACCCAGCCCCCTTTTTTTTTTTTTTAAGTTGTCAAAAAATACTTCTGTACTTGTTCTTCCCCTCTAGGTGATCTCCTTTAGTCTGTAAACAACCATCCATGCATTTCTGTTGCCAGTTTATCTCTTCAGACCTGATCTCTGTTCTCACCTGCAGATTTATATGTCTCATAACTGATTGACATTTGCACCACAGAGTCCAACTTAGATATGACTAGTCCAAAACCAAGCTCCTGATTCCCTCCCCGCAAGGTTTTTTATTTAGTGGTAATTCTTTTTTTTTATTCAACTGAAATCTTGGTTCTCCTTCACCCCACAGGCCCTCTTCAATGCCATCATCCCAGATCACCATGCAGAAGCCTTTTCTCCTCCCCGCCTAGCTCCCTCAGGCTCTTTGGACCAGCTTGTGGAAGGTCTTCTGGGTGGCCTCTCTCGCTGGGATGCTGAACACTTCTTGTTCATTGCTGAGCATGGATACCTCTATGAGCACAACTTTGCCTTCTTCCCTGGCTTCCCCCTGGTCCTGTTGGTGGGAACTGAACTATTGAGACCCCTAAGGGGGCTCCTGAGCCAGCGGAGTTGCCTGCTTATTTCAGTAGCATCACTCAACTCCTTGTTCTCTGTGCTGGCCACGGTTGCACTTCATGACCTGAGCTGTGTGGTTTTGCGCTGTCCCCACCAGGCCTTTTATGCAGCATTGCTCTTCTGCCTCAGCCCTGCCAATGTTTTCCTGGTAGCTGGTTACTCAGAAGCTTTGTTTGCCTTCCTGACATTCAGCGCCATGGGGCAGCTAGAGCGGGGACGAAGCTGGACTAGTGGGCTCCTCTTTGCTCTTGCTACTGGAGTGCGCTCCAATGGACTGGTCAGTGTTGGCTTCCTCCTGCATAATCAATGTCGAGGCTTTTTCTCTTCTCTTGTGGTGCTGAACCCCCTGAAACAACTCTTGAAGCTGATGGCTTCTGGGTGCCTGTCAGTTCTCACACTCAGCCTTCCCTTTGCCCTCTTTCAATATTATGCCTACACCCAGTTCTGTCTGCCAGGCTCAGCCCACTCCATTCCTGAACCCTTGGTGCAGTTAGCTGTGGACAAGGGCTACCGGATTGCAGAGGGAAATAAGCCGCCGTGGTGCTCCTGGAAACTTCCTCTAATATATAACTATATCCAGGATGTATACTGGAATGTTGGCTTTCTGAGATACTATGAACTTAGGCAGGTACCCAATTTTCTACTGGCTGCACCAGTGGCTATATTAGTTGCCTGGGCAACTTGGACATATGTGACCACCCACCCTTGGCTCTGCCTCACACTTGGGCTTCAAAGGAACAAGAACAATAAGGCCCTAGAGAAGCCTGATCCTGGCTTCCTCAGTCCACGGGTGTTTGTGTACCTGGTTCATGCTACAGTGCTGCTGCTGTTTGGAGGTCTGTGCATGCATGTTCAGGTGAGGTGGATTCCTGTCTGGGATGAGGATGTGAATACAGGCAAAACCCCAAGGACAGGAGAAACAAGTCCCATTTCAGTGACCAGTACCTAATTTATTCAGTTAACCACTATTTGAGAGTTTTGTTTGTACAAGAAAGACCCTGGGTCAGACCTCTGAGGATGAAACATGAGTACAATAAAATTGCTGCCTTAGTGACTCCCGTGGTATAAACAGGGAGACAGATAAAATTATAGTACAGGGGGATGGAAGTGGGCTTGCTGTTTTGAGATTAAAAAAAAAAAAAAACTTAGATAAATTATCACTAACTCACCAAAGGAATTGAGAAAGATACCATATTTGAGCAGGGTCCTCAAGAGCAAGAAGGAATTTTTTTTTTTAACATAAGAAGCAGAGGAGGAATACTCTATGCACAGGGGAGAGCATGAGAGTTTTGAAAGGATATGAATTAAGCCGAAATGTAGGAATAAGCACCAAAGATATCCTGGGGACCTTTCCCTCATTCATATCCATGATGGCTTCTGAAGGCACTCTGAGCTCAGGCAGGTGCTGTTTTCAGGGGAGATATCTTGTCCAGTGTTTGGGATGATGGCAATACAGAAGGATATGGAGAGGTTTGATCTCACATCTAATTTTTTGCTCTTGACTGTGGCCCCAGTTTCAACATCCCTTGAGGAAGTCTTTTGTCCCAGTGCTGACCTCTCCTTAGCAGCATCTATCTCTTGAAGACAAGCATTGGTGTTTGTGAAGTTCTCTGAGCTGTGTGGATAAGAGGGGAAATTAGGAAGTAGCATTCTGTGTTTGTGATTAAATTAACTCATAGAGTGAGTACCAGCCACACTTAGAATTTCCAGGTTGGTTGGGAGTCCATTTGGAAATGTGGCTCTGAACTTCTATAAGGGGGAAGTTCAAATCATAGGATCCCTTGCTCCGCCTTTCCCTCAACTTTGCCACCCCTGTAGGATAAGTGATCAGTACCTAATAAGGGAGCCGCCTCAGATTTTCAAGTCCCAAATTGCTGCCCAAAATATAGATCCACTCCCTGGGCTAAAATTAGACTTCACAGAGTGTTTAATGTTGACCGGCCCATTATTGTGGTAATTAATCTAAAGGTGTGGTTATTTGTAACATGGAGGTTGCCACGCATGTATCACATCTTTTTATAAGGCAGTTTCTTAGCTCTTACTGCATTTCCAGTGTAATTCATTTCCAGTCACTGGGCCATAGTTTTCCCAGCCTCAGAGAAGCCCCCCAGACTGATCCAGCTAGCATCAGTGACATTCCAATAAATATGTGGGTTTTCTTATTATTATGATTTCTAGGTTCTCACCAGATTTTTGGGCTCCTCCACTCCTATTGTGTACTGGTTTCCAGCTCACTTGCTTCAGAATCAAGAGCCACTGTTGAGATCCTTAGAGACAGAGCCTTGGATGCCTCTTGCGGAAGACTTCCCACCAAGACAAAAAATACCCAGAAATTCTATCATGGAACTTTTGTACAACTGGAAAACCTGCTCTTCAGTCACTCGATATATCCTAGGTTACTTCCTGACTTACTGGCTCCTGGGACTACTCTTACATTGCAACTTCCTGCCTTGGACATGACCTGGAGTCTCAAAGGACAGACTAGAAGCCAACTTAATTCATCTTCTTCAAAGTTAAAAGACAGACCAGGACCAAGCATGGTGGCACACCCCTGTAATCCCAGCAACTCAGGAGACAAAGGCAGGAGGATCATAAATTTAAGTCCATCCAGATAACTTGTTGAGACCCTGTTTTAAAAAATAAAAATGGCTGGGGATATAGCTCAGAGGCAGAGCACCAATGGGTTCAATCCTCATTACCAGAAGAAGATAACACACAGGGACTGCCTGCACCTGGGATCATCCTTGTGGGCATTAGAACCCCTTTGTTTTTGGAGACTGGTGAGCCATCAAAGAGCCCTTTCTGGTCCTGGCTGGAGCAAATTTTAAGAGTAGTAACTATTTTCACTGTAAGTGGTGATACCTTACTCAAGTCTAAAGTACACCTGCATCTGTCTAGTCAACCAACATAGCAGGAGACATTCTTAAACCTGCCACTTTAAATTTAAATGTAGATTATTTAAATGTGCACTTCATCAAAGGCTCTAGCTGACAGTCTGGTGATAGTCCACACAAGATGGTGTGGACTGGACAGTGTGGTAGTAATAGGAAAATGAGACCTTTTTCTCTAAATGGGAAGTTTCTGAAGGTGGTTTTTTTTTTTTTAATGCAATTTTATTTAGTTAGTTTTAAGACTTATTCAGAAGGCCACTGGGRTTGTTATTTCAAAGGATGTTCTTCCCCTCATGACACACATTAGTAAATTTCTTTGTAGGAAGAGCTCAGCTTTCCAGTGATATGGAAGAATCTGATTCAGAAGAGCCTGTCTCCGACTGATTCCTCCAGCTTGGCTGTGGTCAGTTTCTCTGTCTTCAGCCTATGAGGCTTTGGGATATTCTCACATGCACCAAGTCTCACCTCACCTTTCTTTCTAGCATAACTGACTGATAGAAGGAGAGGGATAGGACCCCCAGACTTCAAGGGTTTTACTCTCCCAGTCTCTTGATAAATTCTGCCCTTGTGAAGAATCAGATGGTCCTGCCCATGAGCTTGAAAAAGGCCTTCTACCTCATATCTTTGCTGTCTTCTAAATCTTCAAGTAAGATGTTATACCCAGGGTCTCTCTTCAACATACAGATTGTCCTTCAATTTGGAGAGAGAGCAATGACTTCTGCCTCCCTGCTTTTCACACTCTTCTTAATCTTTGGGCTGCTTGATCATTGGCCTCCTCAATGTCATCTTTCAGGACCATTTTGAAGTTGTTTTTTCATTTGTGCATTTGTTTATATGAAAAATCTTACACGCTGGGTGTGGTGGTTCATACCTGTAATCCCAACTCACTTGGAAGGCTGAGGCAGGAGAATCCAAATTTGAGGCCAATCTTAGCTACCTGGAGAGACTGTTTCAAATTTTTATTTTTAATTTATTTTTTAAWAATATTTATTGTTTAGTTTTTTAGGTGGACACAATATCTTTATTTTATTTATTTTTTATGTGGTGTTGAGAATTGAACCCAGTGCGCCATGCATGCCAGGCGAGCGCGCTACCGCTTGAGACACATCCCCAGCCCCTGTTTCAAATCTTTAAAAATAAAAGGGCTGTGGTTGTATCTCAGTGTTAGCGCATTTACCTCACATGCATGAGGCCCTGAATTTAATCCCCAGGATGGGGTATGTGTCGGGTGGCTTGCAAAGATAAACAACTTTCTAATTTATACATGAATAGAATTAACTTTTTACAACCAAGAGGGGTTGGGGAGTATAGCTTAGTGGAAGAGCACATGAGGCCCTTAGGTTTGATTCCCTTACAAATTAAATAACAATAGTAATAATGGTAATAAAAATCACTTGGAAAAAAAAAAAGTCAAGGTTAAGAATATGGCCAGAGGGCTGGAGTTGTGGCTCGRTGTTAGAGTACTTGCCTGGCATGTGTGAGGCCCTGGGTTTGATCCTCAGCACCACAAATAAATAAAAAGAAACAAAAGATCCATTGACAACTAAAATATATTTTTTAAAAAGAATATTTGCAGGAGTTTGGATGATGCTTGTCTTCAGAACAAACCTGTGTATCAGCCATATGACCTTGAGCGTGTTTTCAGGAACTAAGGGAGATGCTGTTATGGGGGGGGGGGGATATGGGGATTGTAGGTCCTTTTTTCCTTTAAGATCTTGAGGGCTACTTAAACAGAATTACCCCAATCTAAGCACTTATGCACTGACACAAATGTGATTTTAGCCAGGTGCAATGGTGCACACCTGTAATCCCAGCTACTTAGGAGGCTGAGGCAGGAGGATTTCAATCTAAGGCCAGCCTCAGCAATTTGTGAGAACCTGCCTCAAAAAACAGGCGCCATGGCTTACGCGCTGGGAGCCTGAGGCAGGGAGAATTGCAAGTTCAGAGACAGCCTCAGCAATAGTGAGGTACTTAGCAAATCAGTGAGACCCTGTCTCTAAATAAAAAATACAAAATAGAGCTGGGATGTGACTCAGTGGGCATATGCCCCTGAATTCAATCCCTGGTACAAAAAAAAAAAAAAAAAAAAACCAACAACAACAAAGGACAAGAGATGTAATTTAGTGGTAGAGCATCTGTGGGTTTAATCCCTACAAGTTACTTGTAGCGGAAAGTATTTCAATTTTTCCCTGCTTTCAACAAGTAGAAGAGGGCTGGGGTTGTGGCTCAGGGGTAGAGCGCTCGCCTAGCACGTGCGAGGCCCTGGGTTCGATCCTCAGCACCACATAAAAATCAATCAATAAAATAAAGGTATAAAAAATWTAAAAAATTAAAAAAAAAAAAAACAAGTAGAAGAAACCTCCATCCTCAGGGTGCAATTCTGGAGGAGTAACCAAAGTGATCTTTCCTTTGAACAAGGGAGTACAGTGACACCTGGTGAATAAAGCTGCTTCTCTGCAAGGTAACCGGTGACTGGTTTTCCATCCTCAAGAGCCCTTTCTTGCTTGACTGGTTAGCATGGTAAGAGGAGCCACAGCGGCATGAATGGGTAAATTGTAAATCCAAGGTTGACTGAAATGGCATTTATCCTGCTTCCTGGCACCATTCGATTGGTTACGAGCTATCACAAATGATAGGAGGATCACTGACCCCACTGAGCAATTTCTGCCTATTCCTTGAGCCAGGAAAGAGTTTGATTCTGTGTCATCACATCATCATCATCTCTTTTTTTTTTTCCTTTCATTATCCCTCTTATGCCCCCTTTGAGCCAAAAATTCCAATAAGCAGAAACTTCAAAACAGATGGGTAATCATCAACAGCTTCTGGAAAGCCCTGAGAGTTGGAATTTGGACACACTCCCTCTGACCGTGACAGAAAGCTAAACTTGCCAGCTGAAGGGAAGCTCCTGGCTTAAGCCCAGCACCCTCTGTGGGAGCCTCCGGCCAGCCAGGCCAATAAGCATTCCTACCCATGGCCGCAGCTCTAGCATAGCTGAGCATTTGGTCCAGTGTCAAATGCTTCTGAAAATGTACACACAGATCGGGGCAGCCCTCTGCCTTCTGCCAAGACACTGAGTGCCCTTCTTGGCAAAAGATGATCACCCTTGCCCTAGTGTCCCTCTAGCTGGCAGAAACCATTCCCTCTCTCCTCACCAACAGCTGCAAATCCAGGGACTTCCACCCTGTGTGTGTGGGGGGGGTAGGAGTGGGGAATTGGGGTCCATTTAAGTTCTTTATTGCCGAGCCAGGAGCACTAGGTCCTTTGCTCTTGGCTTCTATTTGCCTCTTTGGGGGGATAATCATGACTGATTGTTTCCTTACTGAAAGAGGTGACTCAAACCCCACAGTGTGTGATGTCACTGCTCTGGCAGTCTCAGCATAGCTATCAACAGGATCTCATCACCCCCAGAAACACTACACCTGAGGACCCCAGCTAGGTGGATGCTTCTGGAGCAACATGGTTTTCTCTCTGACCTTGGAGGTCTAGTTATTGTTCTCTAAGCATCTAAGGAATTAGTTGATTTTATGGCCAGCAGCTGTCCTTTTACCATCCTATTAAGAGTCTTTAATGGTCTGGAAGAGGGACATGAAGGGCCCAAGGCAGGAAGCTTCCTGTTTACCCTGAGGTCTAACAATGCCGCAGCTGGGTTGGGTCTACAATTTCAGAGAAGTCATTTCCTTCTGAGACCCTGCTAAAACAGAAACCAGACACTTAACTAAAAGTAGAGGGTTGTTTTTTTTCTTTTTTCTTTTTTCTTTTTTCTTTTATGAAGGTGAGAGGAGAGGGAGTGTTTGACACGTCTTTACCATTCCCCCTGGGGAAGGGGGTGGGGAAGGTCACTCCTTTCCTTGAACAGACCCTCTCATCTTCATCTAAAAATATAATAATGTGCAGCCTCGAGAAATTTGAAATTGATTCTTTCAGCAGTTGTTTATCACTACCTACTTTAGGCATTGACCAAAGGAGACTCAGCTATCCCTCCTGTCCTCAACTGTCTAAGGAATTGCTAGCAGATTCACAGAAACAATAATTAAGGTAGAAAGTAATAAATTCTGGGGAGTAGGATGACACCTACACTTCTTGCTCTCTATCTCTACTTCAACTATTTTTTTTGTGTGTGTGGTAGTGGTGATTGAATCTAGGGCCTTGTATTCGCTAGGTCAGTGCTATACCACTGAGCAACATCTTCAGCCTTTCTCTTATTTTAATTTTGAGATAGCAATTTGCTAAGTTGCTGAGGCTGACTTTGAACTTGCAATCTTCCTGCCTCAGCCTCCCGAATTGCTGGAATTACAGATGTATACCACCATACCTGGGTGAATACTTTACTTTCATTTATATTCCATTGGCTTCGAGTCCACTGGCCAGATCCACTATAAGGGAGGGGGAGGTAGGGTGCCAAAAATAATTTTGTTGTATGACTATTCTGAATATTGCACAAGACATACTTACTTCATTGTTTGGCTGGAAACAGTGGTGCATGCTTGTAATCTCAGGGACACACACAGGAGGCTGAAGCAGAAGGATTGCAAATTCAAAACCAGCCCGGGCGACTTAGCAAGATCCCATCTCAAAAAATAAAASGCTGGCAGTGTAACTCAGTGGTGGTGGTGGGGAGAATCTTAGTTGTTTTGAAATTCGAAAATAACTGGCATCTTGTGTTTTTATTTGCTAAAATCTGGCAACCCTACTGGGAAATGAAGTCTAGTATAGGTTCAGTAAGATAAGAACACAGATATGTGCATGTCACAGTGTACCTTACTGAGCCAAATACCTGTTTTTCCTCAGAATAAACTCACCCCTTCCCTAGGGAAATAACCCCCAATGCCATCTAATCATTATCATATTTAGCCCAAAGTCTCTCAATCAGTTTCAGATAAGGTTCCTTATGGTGATTTATGCACAGAAAGAATATATTATCTGTATTTCATAAACACACCCCAAATACATTGGTAGATCAGGAGATAGGTAACCAGTTGAGCCTTCCATTTATAAAAGGAAAGCAGTGAGCGGCACAATAGTCTCTGGTCCAAAGCTCCTTTGAACTCCCATTGGTCAGAATTCTCCCACTGGACAGAGAAAACCCCTTCCCTGGCTTTTTGTTGTTTTTATACTTGGAATTAAACCAGGGATGCTTTATCTCTGAGCTACATCCTCATCCCTTTTTATTTTGAGGCAAGTTCTTACTAAATTGCTGAGATTGACTTCAAACTTGGTATCCTCCTGCCTCATTCTCTTCAGTTGCTGGGATTACAGACACTTCCCTGGGGTCTTTTTTTTTTTTTAATATTTATTTTTTGGTTGTAGTTAACACAATATCTTTTTTTTATACAGAGAGAATTTTTTAATATTTATTTTTTAGTTTTCGGCGGACACAACGTCTTTGTTTGTATGTGGTGCTGAGGATCGAACCCGGGCTGCACGCATGCCAGGCGAGCGCGCTACCGCTTGAGCCACATCCCCACCCCAAGAGTATGACCTTTTTGAAGAATGCTCATCTTTGGGTTGTTTGTGGTGGTACACACACACACACACACAAACACACACACACACTTGTAATCCCAGCAATTTGGAATTGTGATACTCTGAG